CATTGAGCCCAAGGCTCAGCGGGAAGAGCATATCCTGTAATTCGGTCGATGAAGGCACTTGGTGGGGGACCCACTGATGAGCCGAATGTCGCTGCCGCGGCATACATCGACGGAATGTGGGCGAAACGCGTGTACGAGCTTTTGACGAGTACCATATGGCAATATTGCTGCTTCCTGGCATTGTATGAATATGCGGTCGTCCCTCTATGGCTGATAGATTCCGGTTCAACTGTTCACATCGGTTTGCCTTGGGATTGATGTTTTGGATCGCGGTTTGGACACCTCGCAGTCCCCCGTCTGATCATACAGTGAGTCGATGGGGGGGGGGGGGGTAGCATCTTATCTGGCGTTTTCACATGTGATTAACTGAGTTTTAAAGAAGTCTCACGACTTTTTTATGGTAAGGTTAGGTGCTAACTCCGCTCTGGCTTTCAACCTTCTGATGGGGTTTGGGCATGTTTCCTGTCTGTCAAATAGACATTCAAACATCTCTTGAAGTACGGGGGAGTTTCAGCAGTACTCATATCCTGAAACCAGCGTTAATACTACCAAGCTATACGATTTGATCTACAGTTGGGGAGGGGAGTGGGGGCGAGGACGCGAACGCTCTTGGTGGTTACGCCTGATGCGGACCTACGGTTCGAGACTCTCCTGTTGGTAGAATGACTTAGACCTAAGACAGCAACTGAGCATCTTACGGGAGGCAGATTTGAGATTATGGTCATGTCTTCGCTCCAAAAGTAAGGCAACGATTAAATTAAGGGTTTTAGAGTTAGGTGTTCTTCAACTGTGTAGTAGGTTTTGCGGTTGTTGGCAAGGCCATGGTTACGTATGCCGAAGCTGAGGCTGGAGATAGGGGCAGAGACCTACCGATTTCCAGATGCCATAAACTGATTCTTGCCACGAGACCGTGGTTTACCATTCGGGTTGGGGCTTGGTCCTGCCTTGGCCTTAATGTATCATTGGTCAGTGTTATTGCAGGGTTCAACGGAACTGAAGGTGGCCGCACTTCCAACTATTGCAAATCCAAACCGACAGGACAACCGGGGCCCGTGGCTCAATTGGTAGGGCGTTGGACTTCATAACGCTCCTACCGGTATACAGTGCGTGACTGATCTCATGAAATGTTGACCGAAATTCTGAAATGCGTTTTCGACTAGGAAGGCTTACTTGGTCGCGGTTGTCATCCTGCTTACCTTGCGGCATAATCCTATAACATTTCAGACTCGACAGGATGTCGACCTTTGAATACACTTATTTTCGACCTCCTGTAGAGACCGTACTCGGTAAATAATGACTACTTAAGTAGCATGCACTTTTCACATTGATTTTCGATGGTCTTGCAAATTCAAACATATTTTATGGAAAACATTTATAAAAATATGTTTTATTCCAGTCGTTTGATAGAGGATCACGTCATCTTTATATTGTATGCTAGAAGAGGGAGTATAATTAGGCTTTAAAATAGTTTCTAATTATGATATTTTTAAGACCGCGCAATGTCCATTCACACAGCATGATACCCGTCCGTTTAGCACTGCTCCTCATGAAGTGTACAATATAATCAGCATCCATTACAATATTTTATGGACCCTGTATGGTATCTTTTTAAAGGCATAGAAGAATATGTGATTTTCCTCACGCGGAACGCATGCACCTTGTAGACTGAAATCACTAAGCGCTAATGCAACGGCTGACAGGCACCAAATTATTCGGGAGTTAGAAAACTTAAAAACCTCTTCAATGGCGTGATCGTCTATAAAACGACTGGAAGAAAACATATTTTTATACGTGTTTTCTATAAAATATGTTTGAATTTGCAAGACCATCGAAAATGAATGTGAAAAGTGCATGCTACTTAAGTAGTCATCATTTACCGAGTACGGTCTCTACAGGAGGTCGAAAATAAGTGTATTCAAAGGTCGACATCCTGTCGAGTCTGAAATGTTATAGGATTATGCCGCAAGGTAAGCAGGATGACAACCGCGACCAAGTAAGCCTTCCTAGTCGACAACGCATTTCAGAATTTCGGCCAACATTTCATGAGATCGGTCACGCACTGTAGATTCCTAGTCGTTATGTGAGTGTCCTTGAGATCTCTACATTGAGCCCAAGGCTCAGCGGGAAGAGCATATCCTGTAATTCGGTCGATGAAGGCACTTGGTGGGGGACCCACGGATGTCGCTGTCGTGGCATACAGCGACAGAACGTGGGCGAAACGCGTGTACGAGCTTTTGACCAGTACCATATGGCAACATTGCTGCTTCTTGGCATTGTATGAATAAGCGGTCATCCCTCTATGGCTGATAGATTCCGGTTCAACTATTCACATCGGTTTGTCTTGGGACTGATGTTTTGGATCGCGGTTTGGACACCTCGCAGTTTCCCGGCTGATCATACTGTGAGCCGATGGGGTAGTATCTTATCTGGCGTTCTCACATGTGATTAACAAGTCATACGACCTTTTTATGGTAGGTGCTAAGGTTAGGTGCTAGCTCCGCTCTGGCTTCCAACCTTCTGATGGGGTTTGGGCTTGTTTCCTGTCTGTCAAATAGACATTCAAACATCTCTTGAAGTACGGGGGAGTTTCAGCAGTACTCATATCCTGAAACTGACGATAATACTGCGAAGCCATACGATTTGATCTACAATTGGGAAGGGGAGTGGGGGCGAGGACGCGAACGCTCTTCCTTGGTGGTTACGCCTGATGCGGACCTACGGTTCGAGACTCTCCTCAACTAGGATGGACTTTCACTAACATCGCGAACACAGTTTGCCTATGATAGAGGTGCGTTATTCGATATTTAACAAACGGGCGTCATGGTGGCATTAATTGCCCCCGGATTGGGCTTTCGTTGGTCGACTCTTCAGCTCTTAAGAGAGAGAGCGGGCGAGACTGAAATACAACTAGCTCCTCCCTGCTTCCAATGTTGTTTCTCTTTGCTTCCGTTGGGTAAACGTCTGCATTCGGTCGTTGACTGCAGAAACGATACTTTCGGCGCTATATTCACTATTTCCATTTGCTCGGGCTACAGTAGTTCGGCCGAGGTTTGGCCATCCATAACGAAAGTGCCACATTTGGCCGTTATTCTTTTGGTAGCAGCGTACGTCATGCAACCACTGAAATAGAGGATAACTTCACATGACGTTGCGTTATTTGCTGCGTCCCTACCCGAATTCGGTTTTTAAAATATTGATCTCGCTCGACCGCTCCGCGGCACCGATTGATCGCCTAACTCGCGGTGTCGGGCCTTAATGACAACTTCGCATGACTTTCCGTTATTTGAAACAATGTTTTCCCGGAATAAATTTTTAAATAAGGCAAAGGCGACAAAACATGCAGAATGTACTGACGTCATAAATTTCGAGACCTCTCATTCAGCTGCACACGGTCATTGCATAGTTATATGACAGGCGAACTGTTCAATCAACGATCGACCTAGAGAGATAAAACGTGATAGGTAACCTGAAATATGGCCCTGTAAATTGTTGTTTATAAGCACCACAACGGTCATCCCAGTTATACCAGCTAAAGACATTTTGCCTATGCACGCCACATCAAACTGTATTTATGAGTTTACATGTAGTTGCGGATGTAAGTACATTGGGCGCACGTAAAGGCAGTTGGCAGCTCGGTCAGCTGAACACGTGCCGAAGTGGCTGTTT